CCCTCTCGCAGGTCTCGTAGGGCGCCGTACCTCCCGTCCAATCAGGGGAATAGGGAGGGGGCCTAGGACTGTCCGGGGCACCTGAGTAGCTGCCTCCGCCCCTGCATGCACAGATAGTGCGTTCCCGGTTGAATTTGACCTTTTCCTTTTCCTTTTTACTTCCCAAGTCCTCCTGTACTCCTTCTAGGCCTAATGTTGCCTCCTCCTCCTTCTTCTGTGATATAGCATTACCCATATTTAGGGTTTCACTTACCCCGAGAGACCGCTTAGCCTCGGCCGGTATCTTTTCCTTTCGTGCCCCACGTTGGGCGCCAGATGTTGGGTCTTCGTCCGTCCCACGAAAGACGGACGGGGTCCGAGGAAAGGTAAGTGCGGCGCTCGCCCGTTCCCTAGCCTCCCTCAGCCCAGGAGACAATCAGACACAGCGGGGAGCCAAATCCAGCAGGTAGAAAAACTCGTTTATTAACAGAGAGCAGCCCCTTTTAAGGACAACAAGGGTGGGTGGTATGGTAAGGGAGGAAGAGGAACCAATCACTGTCAAGGTCACACCCTATCATTCACCTGAGCCCTCACGGGCTGGTTAGGCACTGATCAGAAGATCAATTGGGGTCTGCCCACTCAACCCCCTCCCAGCGCCATCTTTGCTGCCCATGTGCTCCACACCCCAGGCCTTCTCCAGCTCCAAGCCCCCCCAGACTCCAAGGCCCTCCCCAGGTTCCGAGACCTCCCCCCAGCTCTGTGCCCCCCCCCCCCCCCCCCCCCCGGCTCTGAGGCCCCTCCTCCCCAGGCTCTGACACCCTCCCCAGGCTCCAAGGCTTCCCCCAGGCTCTGAGCACCGCCCCCCCTACAAGCTCTGAGGCCTGGATTCGAAGTCCCAGACCACCCTCCCCATTCTAGGAAAGAGCTAGGAAAGAAACCTCCACGTGCTCTGTAAAGGATGTTTCAAAATGCGTTCCAAGTCTGCTTCAGGGAAACCAAATTTAAACTGAAAATTGGTGCTGGGTAAAGCTGTTTAACATAAATACATATTATATTAAAGTAACAATCCAAGTACTTGGGTTCATGGTGGGGAGCAGGGGCACTGGCAGCTCACACCTATAATCCCAGCTGTTCAAGAGACTGAGATTTGAGGATGGAGGTTCAAAGCCAGCCAAGTCATACAGATCCAAGAGACCTTTATTTCCAATTAACCAGCAATAAGCCAAAAGCGGAGGCGTGGCTCCACTGGTGGTGAGGTGCCAGCCTTGAGCGGATAGCTGAATGAGCGCTCAAGGCCCTGAGTGCAAGCCTAAAAAGAAAAATGGATCTGCAGCAGCCTCCAGCGGTGGTGAGGCTGGCACTGGTGTGCACTGGTACAGAGGCACAGGAATCTGGGAGCTCTGCCTTCATGCTGAGACAGGTGGTTTTGTTCTTCCTCTAAAACATGGCTCCATGTTTTCTTGCAGTATCTGACACCCGATGTGTCATAAACATTAACTCTGTGATAAAACTGGATCGACAGCCTGATGATTTTCCTCCACTTCTTGCCTAAGTCAATATCTGTTTTTTGTTGGTTATAAACTTGGAATAGTTGTTTGTCTGTCTGTGTCCTTTGAGTATAGGGGAACACAAACCAGACTTAACCCTCTGGCACTACCTGACACATACTTAATGGAAGAAGACCCCCCCTCCTTAGATACATGCATTTTGTTTCTTTGTTCTCTTATGAATTAATAAATTACAGTGCTTCTGTCTTCTGAGTAAACCTTTATCACTGATTAGGCCTTAAAGGCTAATTGAATTTATATTTACTAAAAGACCTAAAAGGAAAAAAAAAAACATTCATAGAACAAGTAGAACTGACAACTGGCTACATAAGAGATGTATTAAAGGAGACAGTGGGTCCCAATGGCCCTTTAAAATGATGTTTAAGTGAAGTTAGAATTTCTATCTAAATTCAAGGCACTTCTCAACTGCTTACTGTAACATATGTAAAAATATAGGAATTACTATGAAAATAATATTCTGAGTAAAAATTCCTGCCATAAAATAAGTACTCCCCCAAATATTCATTTTATGATAGGAAATGCCAATTGTTCTTAGAGCAGTCTAGTATTTGAATAGATGTTTGTAGATTTGTTTTTCTGCATATTTTACATAAATATATATAATATATAAAAAAAGACCTAAAAGACTGATTTTTCCAAAAATGTAGATTTCAAGAATTGAAAATGGTAAGCATGCATATAACTTCAAAATTATTATCTGTTATTTTTAAGTAGTTGTACATAGGAGTTTCAGTTCATCATGTCACTTTATGAACCCAATGTATCTTGATCAATGTCCCTACCCACATAACTTGCATCTTTACCTGGCACTTTTAGAGCAAGGAAGCCAGTGAATGAAGGGAGCCTTTCTGTGTGTATATTTGTACTTCTCAAAAGGAAAAACTATAGAAAAGACTGTTTAAGTATCACTGAGCCTTAATTGTGTATAAATGTTCTATCAAAGTGGTAATCAAATGTGATTACTAACCATGAAATAAAATTACAATATTTAGGAAACGTGCTCAGTAATAAATGCTTCTCATAGCTTCTCTGAAGAAGAAAGAAGGATGGCCAATAGACACATGAAGAAATGTTCAACATCCCTAGCCATAAAAGAAATGCAAATCAAAACAACATTGAGATATCACCTCACTCCAGTTAGAACGGCAAAAATCAAGAACTCTAACAACAACAGATGCTGGAGGGGATGTGGACAGAAAGGAACCTTACTTCATTGTTGGTGGGAATGTAAACTTGTTCAACCACTTTGGAAAACAGTATGGAGGTTCCTCAAAAGACTTCACATAGAGCTCCCCTATGACCCAGCAATCCCACTTTTGGGCATTTACCCTAATGTTTACAAACAAGACCACACTAAAGCTACCAGCACAACTATGTTTATTGCAGCATTATTTACCATAGCTAAGATATGGAACCAACCCAGATGCCCCTCAGTAGATGAATGGATCAAGAAGATGTGGTATATATACACAATGGAATTTTATGCCTCCATCAGAAAGAATGACATTACCCCATTTGTTAGGAAATGGAAAAACTTGGAAAAAATTATATTAAGTGAAGTAAGCCAGGCCCAAAGAAACGTAGGTCCCATGGTTTCCCTTATTTGTAATATCTAGTATATGTATGAGTCAAGCGGAAAAGGTCAGATAATGTGATGTCAGGAAAATGAACCCTTAGATGTGTATTTTAATGTTTTTTTCTTTCATGCCTGTGTTTCTAACACATTTATAAGATTATCTCTTTGTTGCTTTGTATGTCCCTCCTCCACAGTATAACCCCTGCTTTCACTATATTTGATGTCAGTATAACTTGTGGAGGAGATGTGGAAAAACCAGTTGTTTAAGGATACAGGTGGACCTGTTGCAACAATGAGAAGTACAAGTTGTCATGTCCAAAACGAGCTTTACAACGTTGGTGCGGGGGGGGGGGGGGGGGGGGGGGGGGGGGGAGGAAGGAGAAGGATTGGGATTAGGGGGGGAGGGGGGAGGCTGGGAAGGGATGTGAAGGATAAACAAAGGAGGAGGCTGCAATGCTTGGTAAGAAATGTACACATTATCCTGCCCATGTAACTGTAACTCCTCTGTACAGTATGTTCACAAATAAAATTAAATTAAATTAAAAAAAAATCAAAAAAAAAAATAAATAAATGCTTCTCATTCAAAATGTATGCTTTTAAACCTAAGCTTACCTTCCAAGTTTGGAAAAAGACTTTATAACAAATAACTAAACAAAATGTTCTTAAATAACAATTACTTAAGCCGGGTGCCAGTGGCTCATTCCTACACTCCTAGCTACTCAGGAGGCTGAGATCTAAGGGTACCAGTTCAAAGCCAGACCGGGTAGGAAAGTCAGTGAGACTCTTATCTCCAATAAGCCACTCAGAAAACTGGAAGTGTCGCTGTGGCTCAAGTGGTAAGAGCATTAGCTTTGAGCTGAAGAGCTCAGGGACAGCTCCTTGCAGAGTTCAAGCCCCACGACCAACAAAAACAAAATAACTGTTACTTAAACAGGTTACCACAGTCTATTTCCCTATCCTTACAATTGGAATTTAGTTGGTTGTGAACTTGGATTAGTTAAGATTAAAAAAAGATGAATCCTAGTGCATGACACTATGTATTCTGGGTTCATTTATCTAAAGGGAAGAAAAATGCTGGTTAACACACCTTAGACATAATGTATAATGAAGTCTCTAGCACAACACTTCCAAACTTTGCTGGGTGTGGGATTTACTTGGAGTATTTCTTTTCTTTTTTTTTTCTTCTTTTTTTCTTTTTTTTTTTTTGTCGGTTGTGGCGCCTGAACTCTGGGCCTGGGCACTGTCCCTCAGCTCTTTAGCTCAAGGCTAGCACTCTACCTACTTGAGCAGAGTGCCACTTCCAACCTTTTCTGCTTAAGTGGTGCTGAGGAATTGAACCCAGGGCTTCATGCATGCAAGGCAAGCACTCTACCACTGAGCCAACTTCCCAGCCCTAGTTGGAGTATTTCTAAATGGCAGCATCTTTGCCCTAGCCCCAGAGGTTCTAAACCAGTAATTTAAGATCCAGAATGTTTATCACACAAATACATGCTCAGCTAACTCCTAGGAAATTAAAAGAGCACATGCCTCTTTGAGAAATCACATTAATTTTTTTTAGTGCATATTGTATGTCCTGTTTCATCTGAAAGCACTGATTTAGCAGCTAAAATGCTGGCTTGGGGTCATCTTTCGGATGTTTTGTACTGGACGGAAATTCCCACAAAAGACAAGATCTCTTTCACCGTGAATGTGAAGATCTGTCCATAGCTTGTACAGTTCATTCATGCTTCTGAGCCCTATGGCCTCTGGAATGGTTTTGCTTTAACTTGTGTGTGTTTCTTTTTTCTTTTTGCTATCTTCCATATTGCCACTATATTGTTGTACATATTAAAATGAAATTAAATCAGTGAATTTATTATGTTTTCTTCTTTTTCTAGGGAAGACGAGGCAAAACAGGACCCCCGGGAAAGCCGGGACCCCCAGGGCCCCCCGTGAGTAAAGTGTGGAGTGGCCATGCCTGAGTCTGTGCCTGTTTCTGTGTTCCCTAGGGACTGCTCTTAAGAATCATCTACAAAATTGGCTTTCTGTGCTTGATGGAGAGCTTCCCACGTTCCTACAGATAGGAATTAGATATTGTGTGCTTCCAACGAGGGAACATTTCCTAATTTTAACACCATGTATAGAGCAGTTCATGTTGAGGAAAGCTCAGAGAGATAAAACTTAGAATAGCAAGGAAAGGCAGCTCTCTGGAGGCTCAGAGGCTTTGCTCCCAGCGTGACTTTCTCCAGGGCCTCAGGAGAGCACTCTTCCTTTGGGGATTGGGAAGCGTTCTCTAAATCAAAGGCATGCTGTCATTTAGGGGAGTGTGAATAAAGATGAAAAGAAATGGAATTGAACTGGAAAGTCTCTCAGGGCCTAAAGCAATTCAAAGTAATTAAAAGGCTTCAACAATCTTATAATTCTTTGTTCTGAGGCCAAATTTATAGCTTCCCACTTTCTTAAGAAATTTCTGTACCAAAAAGCCAAGTTGTTTGCAAAAAAAAAAAATAACTTTCTACAACTTTCCACTAACTAATAAGGTGTGCGAGTGTCTGTCTGTTTATGTGTGTGTGAGAGAGAGAGAGAGGAGAGAGAGAGAAAGAGAGAGAAACAGAGAGGACAATACATGAAATATTAACTGTCCTATGGAACAAAAATAAGAGAATATTTACCAAAAATAATTTTAAGTTGTCTTTGAGTCCGTTTCATGAAAGATTATATATATTTTTAACTATAACTATAATTTTACACACATAACTAGTTATGCATAGAAATATATATTACTCAAAATTAGCTCTCCACTATCTAATAGAAATTTCATCTTTAGGGAAAATTTTTGGATTTAGGGAAGGCTTAGTTGCCATTTACACAAATGTAATCTGCATATAATAAAATTATTCTTAATCAGAATGCTTGGAATTCAGGAACAAATAAAGTGGCTACAGGGCAGGCTACAAGCCCCAATGCTAAATGTATTTTCATGAAATACCAATCCACTTTTCTGTTAAAAAGCAGAACTTGTCTATACAGAAGGAAAGCCTCCCAGATTCTCTCAAATACCTCCTGCATCTGTTCTTGCAAGTCTGTTTTCTGTGGATGTGGCTGATTGCACAGAGTGGGCACTTTATAAAACTAGTCCCTTATCCACCTGGCCAGCCCAGGAGGTCAGTGCCCTCCTGGGACCTAGTGGGCTGCGGTGGGGGAGAGGTCTCTGGGCCGGCAGAGCAGGCCTGCTCAGGGAAACACAAACTGCATCACAGGACTTCACTCCCATGAAGTCATCTAACCTAATCACTTCCCAAAGCCCCACCTCCAAGCACCTTTCCCATATTTGGAAATTGCATCTCCAACACATAACATCTAGGAGAAACATTAAGGAGAGATGTTGCAGATTAATGAGACCCTTGAAAAGAAATCAGAATTTAGGGCAGAAAGCAACTTGCTTAGGAAGGACATAACGTTCAGAAGTGGGATGGATTAAAGCTGAGTGCATTTATCCCAGGCCTCGTTCTGTGTTAGCTATGTCCAGTGGTTCATGAAACCCTCAGAACTCTCTGGACAAGCAGAAATTGTTCTCACTTTATAATTGGGTGTGTGGTGCTTAGAGATACCACAAAACGTGCTCAAGACTACATAACTAAGGCTTCTAGAAATAAGACCCAGGACTTGATCCCTGAACCTAGCTGACCTCCTAGACCCAGGTAAGTAGCAACTGTCTGTTTATGATGTGACTGGGATCCTACACAAAGAATCATTTGAATTTTAGATGGCAATTTATGGCATTGTCCTAGCCTAGGACAACGAGAAAGTATGTGATGGTGGTGAGAAAATGAATCCCTTTGAGGGCCCTTCTGGATCATTCCCCTGGACATTTGCCTGCCTCCCTGACCTTCTCTGTAAGTTAGAAATAACAGCGCGACCTTCCCCATGCCAAGTATGCTGAGAACGTCCCTTCTGTGTGCAAAGCCTCTGCAAGTGTTTTAAACACTCATTAACATTTTAGCCAGAAGACGATTATCTGACATGTCCAATAGAAATCACCAACATTTTTCACCTTTACAAATTTCTCAAAATTCAGTTGACAAAAATTGGAATGTTTATCCATGGATTCCTTAAGTAAACCCTCTAAATATGAAATACTTCTTCTATATATGTAAATCCTACTTGAAGAGCTTTAACATTTATTTCCAACTAGCCATGACATTGGTGGGTGGCTTACTCCTGTAACCCTAGCTTCTCAAGAGGCTGAGATATGAGGATCATGGTTAGAAGCCAGCCCCGGCAAGAGTCCATGAGACTCTTCTCTCCCATAAACCACCAAAAAGCCAGAAGTGGAGCTGTAGCTCAAGTCATAGAGAACTAGCTAGCCTTGAGCAAAAAAGCTCAAGATTATCACCAAGGCCCTGAGTTCAGTTCCTAGGACTGGTGTGCATGCATGTGCATGCACACACACGCATGCATGCATGCATGCACACAATAATAATAAATAACACTGAATTTGAATAACTCAATGACCATTTTTTTCTCCTTCAGGTTTAGGGTCTCTTTCTTGCTTGTGGGGTGTGATTATCCATGAGCTGAGCTATGGTATTTCATTAATTAAGATACTCTCTAAATCTCTACCTCCTATGCTTTGCACTCTAATAAAAGAAACTTTTCTAAAAAAGTCTTCCATTAATTTCTGTATTATGACAAGAGTTAGAACATCTCAGGACTTGGAATGCCTTAGTTCTGATCACAGTGCTTTCTTTGGTGAAGGAAAAGCTGCTGGAGATGAGATAGGTTGACTGCATTACAGGAGGCTGTGCATGCCTTAACTTCTAATCCATTATCTCTGTGAGGAGTGTTCATTAAAAACCACATTTATTGTAAGATGTGCTATTATTTCTTCCTATTGCAGGTGAGGCTTTTCATTGTCTTTTTTCTAGTATTGTTTTTGTGCACCGTCTCCTGGCTGCAGTTTGAATGTCACAGATTTGGTTGAAAAGATTCCAGGCCGGTACGATGTGGGATGGTGGCACCCCCTGGTGTCAGACTTGAGAACTGCAGGGCAGAGAACGGCCTGTAGGACTGTTGCAGTTGGGGACATTGTTCTGTGTTTGAGGCTTAATTTATAAACCAACACCATTTTATTTTTCAGGGTTGTGGCATTTTCTAGCTATCTTGTGGTAGAATGCACATAGAATATCATCAGCTTGTGAGATGGTTAAGGAGAAAATCGTTCTGAGCTCCTGGACCTCTGAATGCCCAGGAACTACAAGCCCTGGCAGGAGTCTGCAGCATTAATGCACAGTGAAATGTGCAAGCAATATTGTAGAAAATACATACTGTCTTCTTAGTTCTCCCTCATTTTCCTTTTTGTGCTGGTACTGGGCTTGAATTCAGGGTCTGGGCACTGTCCCTGAGCTTTTCAGCTCTAGGCTGGTCTCTACCACTTGAGCCACAGCTCCATTTCTGGCTTTTTGGTGGTTCATTGGAGATAAGAGTCTCAAATCCTGCCTTGACTGTATTTAGACCTCAATCCTGAGATCTCCCTCCTAAGTGGGTAGGATTATAAGAATTAGCTAACCACTGCCTAGCACAAGTCAGTATTCTAAAATACATTTTAGACTCAAGAATAAAGCAGATAACTTCTATTAAAATGTCCTGTGTGTGATTGTATGCATGTTTGAGGCTAATCGTGTCTTGATAGGGTTCCAGTGTACACTCCTGACCTCCTTTCATTATATGATTGGAGCTTTTGTTTCTAGTTTTCCTTATAGCAGGACCCTAGGTTTATTAAATGACTAAAGGCCATGAACTTTTAAGACAATATCCTCAGAGAAAACGACCCTGCCACTGACTCGAGTCAATGGGAGTAGTACTTTCACTTCTTATTAAAAACAAGATGGTATCCTCAGATTTTACATTATAAACACGGAAGACTTAAGAATTGGAGATATGACCAGCTAATTATTTTTATTGCCACTTGTCCCTCCTGGGTTTACAGCCCCAGACAAAACAGCTGTTGTCAACATAGCTGAGATTCCAGCCCCCCTGTGTCCACTGAGTGGACGCTGAGACGTGCGTGGGAGGCAGAGGCTGAGATTTCAAAAGTGGCGTTGGATTCTGTTTCCTAATGACATCTCTTGATCTCCATGAACAGAGGCGATAGGCAATTATAGGCATTTTCTGACTTCCTGAGATTTTTGTCCATTCTGGCTCTGTAACAGGACGTTTACCTTCACTCAGCCATAGGCCAGGTTGCATCTAAGCTGCTGTTCTTAAAAGCAGTATGGAAGCCAGGCACCCGTGGCTGACGCCGGTCATCCTAGCTACTCAGGAAGCTGAGATCTGAGGGTCAGGGTTCTAAGCTAGCCTTGGAAGGGGGGCGGGGAGGAAGGAAGAGAAAAGAAAGAAAGAAAAGGAAAGGAAAAGAAAGAAAGAGAGAGAATGAGAGAAAGAAAGATAGGAAGGAAGGAAGGAAGGAGGGAGGGAAGGAAGGAAGGAAAAATAAAGAACGAAAGAAAGAAAGAAGAAAAGAAAAGAAAAGAAAAAAGGCTCATGATATGCTTATCTCCGGTTACCCAGAAAAGAAAGCTTGAAGTGGAACTGTGGCTCAAGTGGTAGAGCACCAGCCTTGAGCAGAAAAGCCAAGGGACAGCGTGCAGGCCCAGAGTTCAAGCCCCAGCACGGCAGGGGGAGGGGGAAAGAGGAGAGGAAGAGAGAGACTCCAGTACAGTGAACAGAAAATGTGTTGAGGTGAGGCGGGGCCTGTAAGCTAACATCCTCCTGCTACTGGAGGCCCAGGGTGGACGAGAGGCAGGACGCAGTCCATCCTGAGGCAAGGCGCAGTGGTCTTTTGCAGATAACACTGGATGCACACCATTTATTTCTACATGTCCTTGCTGGCCGGCCGGCTGGACCACAGCAGGACATACTTGAAGAGAGATGAGAATGAAATATTTTAGGG